TTATGACAGACATGGCAGGTTACAGTATAACCGGAGTCTACTTTTATGACACACATGGCAGGTTACAGTATAACCGGAGTCTACTTTTATGACACACATGGCAGGTTACAGTATAACCAGAGTCTAATTTTATGGCACACATGGCAGGTTACAGTATAACCAGTCTAATTTTATGACACACATGGCAGGTTACAGTATAACCGGAGTCTACTTTTATGACACACATGGCAGGTTACAGTATAACCGGAGTCTACTTATATGACACACAAGGCAGGTTACAGTATAACCGGAGTCTACTTTTATGACACACATGGCAGGTTACAGTATAACCAGAGTCTAATTTTATGACACACATGGCAGGTTACAGTATAACCAGAGTATAATTTTATGACACACATGGCAGGTTACAGTATAACCGGAGTCTACTTTTATGACACACATGGCAGGTTACAGTATAACCGGAGTCTACTTATATGACACACATGGCAGGTTAGAGTATAACCGGTGTCTACTTTTATGACAGACATGGCAGGTTAGAGTATAACCGGAGTCGACTTTTATGACACACATGGCAGGTTACAGTATAACCAGAGTCTACTTATATGACACACATGGCAGGTTAGAGTATAACCAGAGTCTAATTTTATGACAGACATGGCAGGTTAGAGTATAACCAGAGTCTAATTTTATGACACACATGGCAGGTTAGAGTATAACCGGAGTCTACTTTTATGACAGACATGGCAGGTTACAGTATAACCGGAGTCTACTTTTATGACAGACATGGCAGGTTACAGTATAACCGGAGTCTACTTTTACGACACACATGGCAGGTTTCAGTATTATCATAGCATATTTTTACGACACACATGGCAGATTAGAGTATTACATTTTTTTTAAACTTCCCTTTTGGGCAAATCAACATATTAGTGGAGACACACCATTGAACATAGACACATGAATCCACTCAGACAATAAAACTATTTGGTATTTTCCTTTAGCAAATATAACAAAGTAAATTTTTTTAATACATTAAGCGGATAAACTATTTTCACAATTATCCAGCAGTAAAGACCATACAAATCGTGAAGGTGATTGTGAAATGAATACAGAGATTTACAAAGACAGAGCCACAGTGGCTAGTGCACTGGTTTACAAATTTAGTGGTCAAGGACCAATTCTCAGAAGTGGAAGAATATTCATATGTCTTTACAGATGTCAACTCGACCTCGCTTCATAAAATTTCCAGTACAAATAACAATGAGATGCATGCACAATAAACATTTCAAAATTACATTACATGCTGATCATAAACTAACAATAAACAAAACATAACTAAAGGATGCATTCTTAATCTAAATATATTTCTCACAAGTTAAACAAAAATGATTTTTTTTTAATAAGTAAAAAAAAAAAACAAACATGATATCAACAGATTTACCAAATGACTTTAGTTTCTGATTTGATGAAATGTTATGTTACTAAAATGTCACAATGAATAAAAGTTAGAAATAAAAATAATGTGATTCAAATGCCATACTCAGTAAAGGTAGAAATGAATATGACTGAAATGTAACAATTAATATTGTTGAAGACACCATGCAGAGTAATGAAGTGCCCTACTTCATAATGTTGGGTTTGACTATGTCACCCAAATCAAACATTTAAAAATGTTGAAAAAGGATGTAATGTCAGATGCATTATCGTTGAAGATAAATGTAACATCACTGAAATTTCCAATGTCATAATTTTGCTGTCTTTGTCTAGAATATGAGAAAATTGAACACTCAACACACCATTATGTCATGGCTTGAAATATGTGAAGGTTTTTTGGGCCTCGTGAATGGTTAAGAAATGAGCCATGAACCCGTGGCAATAACTGGAACAAATCCTAAAAAACCAAAACATTTTACAGAGACCACTAATAAATTGTAAACAAAAAATATAGGTTAGTTGTGTATCCTTTACAGGACATTGCAGAACCAACCCCAACAGCCCTTGGCTGTTGTGTTGTGTGGTTTTTCTAGGCAAATTTACGTCCAGTAGTTTGATATTGCTTTCTGGACGGTCGGCTTTCTTGATACCAATGTCGAAACCAACACAAGGCGATTGGCCGGCAGCTAGGATTGAACCCGGCATCCCGAAGCGTTCGCAGCGACTTAGCCACAAAGCCGACCAAAAAAAAAAAAAAAAAAAATATATATATATATATATATACATATAAAAGGGGTAATCAATAAATATGAAAAGAGTTAAGCATCACATGGAATACATTCCAGGGGCTAAACCTCAAAATAAATAAATAATTTCGGGTGACTCATGTTGTACCTCCATCAGTAAGGCTTACGAGAAAAATGTGACATCAAGTTGGCTTTAAAAAAAAACACACATTGGGGTCATATGGACCCCCCCCCCCCCCCAACCCCCCCAATGCTATTTTTAGTTACTATATTCATATTCTGGTCTATTAAACACTGTGCAGGCACACAAAGAACCAATGAAATGTAAGTATGCTTTCTGAGACGAGGTCACTGCAAATAGGCCAATATATAAGCATTTACAGGATCGTTACAGCCAAAAGTGACTATATTTAGCCTTCCAGGGGACAACAGGGTTAATGCTTTACACTTCACTGTAATTCCTGTGTGGATTCCAGGGTCTTTGTGTAGGAAAGACAAGAACAGACTCACAGCCTACCCAAGAGCATGTCACAAGAGTTGACTCATTGGCAACTGCCTTCAAATTCGGAGTGGATCTGCATGAGAGGCTGCATACAATGAGTCAGATCTGTCAAATGGATGTGCAAGCAACACTCAGGTTCTGGAACAGGACTACAGTCCAGAAGTGGACGAACAACCAGAACTTTTCACCAGAGTTTACAGCTGATGAAGAAGAAGACTTTACTGTATCATGGCCTGAAGCAATTTTCAAATATGGTGGGCTGCAAACCCCCAGGAGTCTGTGGAACATATATAAGGAGTAGGTGATACCAGTCAGAGCTTCAACTGGCTAGACAGAGATGTGGATTTGTCATGTTTGTAACTGTAACATTGTCTATTCATGTACTGTGTTTAATGAAGTCTTTATAGTCGCAGCCTTTACTTGTCATTTGTGACTTTATAATGTGAAGCTGAAAAGTTTTACTTTTTGTTTGGTTTGATATCTTTTCATGACATTAATTCATTTAGAGAAACACACACACATTCAATTTTAGAGTGCAATCCAACCGGGAAGGCTAACCCAGTCAACAAATGCCCACAGAAGTCGGATGTGTTGGCCAAAAAATGCACATATCGCAGCCATTCTGTAAACAGTCACAATGCAATTACATCTTTGGATGAATGCAGAAGAAGAAGAAGAAGAATGCAATCCATTCCCCATGTGGGTTCCAGAGCCACACTGTGGGGAAAACAAGAATAGACTCACTAATTGGGGGCTTCCTTTGAAGTCAGAATGCATCAGCCTGAGAGGCAAGGAATAAACAATCTGCATAAATTAAGTCAGATCTGTTTAATGGATGTGCAGGCAACACTCAGGTTCTGGAACTGTCTACTCATTTAATGTGCTGATGAAAGCTTTCTAGCTGCAACACTCGCTCACTGTTTGTGATTTGAAAATGTGAAGCTGGCAAGTTATACTTTTCATCTGGTTTAATATTTTTTCACACTATTCATTTACAAACAAAACCCCAACTTCAGAATATGATTATTGTTTCAGTTTCAATATTTATAAATTACAGTTAGTTTTATCAGTGTGACTATTCTTCTTCCTCTTTGCATTACCAGCTGTAAACTCTGGTGGAAAGTTTTGGTTATTCATCCATTTCTGGAATACAGTCCTGTTCCAGAACCTGAGTGTTGCCTGTGCATCTGTTTGATAGATTTGACACATTTTTGTGCAGACTTTTGGTTCCTTGCCTATCAGGCAGATGCACTCCGACTTCAAAGAAAAGGGTGACTATTAAAAACTATGAGGTTTGTGGCAGACGTCTGAAAATGACAGGGATCCACAGGTCTTAGCTAAATGGGAATGGCTGACTTGGAATAAATGAAGATCTAACATTTTACACTTAATTAACCAGAAATATCTGTCATTTAACTCTTTGAGTCCCACGGAGTTTAGCATCACAGGCCCAATGGGTAGTAAAGAGAGACTAAAATCGACACATCATGCGTTTATTGGGCTTTCAGGTAGGAACCTATGAACGTATGATGCGTTCCATGGGACTCAAAGAGTTAAGGTTTTAAATGTAATGTGTGGGTTCTGGGGTCCCACTGTAGGGAAACAAGAACAGACCTACTGCCTCCTCAATACACATTGTAGAAGTCGACTAATTTGCCTGAAAGGCTAGGAACCAACAGTCTGCATAAAAATAAGCCAGATCTGTAAAATGGATGCGCATTTAACACTCAGATTCTGTAACTAGGCTAACATCCAGAGATGGATGAACAACCAGAATGTTCTGCCAGAGTTTAGAGCTGGTGAATGTGAGTTGAGTTGAGCTGAGTCAAGAATTGACATCACAACACTGGAGGCATTCCCATGTGTGCTCTGTCCTAATCTTCAGCAGCTAGCTCAGCATTCCAATTATGATGGTACAGTTTCACAATCTGGTTACATGTCTGTCTTGCCTTTCCTCTGAGTGTAGTGAGCCGCCCAGACCTTCTGGTTACACCTATGTGCCTCATTCTCTCCAGGCCATAATAATCTTGTTTCTCTCCTTATTCCGTTGCTTGTTTTCAAAGGGCTTTGACTACAGCTGCCTTGTCAGGTATCAATTCACGTAGAAAATGTGAAGAAGAAGAAGAAGAAGAAGAAGAAGAAGAAGAAGAAGAAGAAGCAGGAGGAGGAGGAAGAAGAGGAGAAGGAGGAGGAGGAGAAGAAGAAGAAGAGTTTTTTATAATTTCAAATATTTATACGAGCACCCTTCATATTTCTGAGCATCTGTACCAAGTGTACCCTTCCAGCAGGTGGCTGAATAAACAGAACAAGAACAAGGACTACAACGCATCCACTAAACCATGAGAAGCAGCCACCTGCACCATCTGACTCGTGCCATAAAATCCTTGGTCATTTAGGTAATGCTCACTACAATACTCTGGTACATTATCATACATCATGACCAATTGGAAACAGACTTGTGAGAAAAATGTCCGGAGGTCTGTCTGCCAAACTTCTTCAAGGAATCGCCGCAAAGGAAGTACATGACTGAGCACTGCATTCCAATGTGTGTGAAAATCTTCCACAATGTGGTGGACTTTGTCTGGTCTTGGCAATGTGTCTTTTGATCTTTTCATCCTCATCATTTTTTCTGCAGAGAACAAAAACAGTTGCATCAATTCCCACTGCTTAGTCATATTATGAAGGAGCTGCTGGCTCAGTTTAGAGTGCCAGGCTCTTATGTAGAACCAGGTCAATCTTCAGTAAGGAACAGGGATGTTTCTTTCAGAGGCAAATATGGTCTTGATGTGCACAGTTTGTTGCCATGTGGCTTTAAATCTTCACATGCATGACCTCCCCCTTCCCTCCCATTTGTTTTTAAGTATCCAGAAACCATGAGTTGTTAACCCTTTGACTCAGTACTATGGATATTGCAACCCTTTGGCTTTGATTCCTTGATAGATAAATATGGGAGAAATGTGGCTTTTCTGCCTACCCCCGAGCGTGAACCCGGACCAAAATGAGTTTGTCCCCTGTCAGGTTTAGCCAACTGTGCTAGTGAGCCGGCATTAACATAGTAAACACAAGCAGAAAAGACAGTTTTGAAGTCATAGTTTAACTCATTTGATGCCATATTTCCTGTATGTTACCAGAATCTGTAAGGGAAGCAAATAATAGCAAAACAGGCTATAGAAATCATCTAAGGGAGGCAGGCTATCATGCAACAGGTCACCTCCTTCCAGAGAAAACGTTAGCTACAAAAGCCAGTCAATCAGGAACAAGTCTTCTTCTTCTTATTCTTGTTTGTGTTCACCAGCTGTTCAGCTGTAAACTTTAGTGGAAAGTTCTGGTTGTTCGTCCTCTGGACATTAGTCCTATATTGCGTGCACATCCATTTCACAGATTTGACTTAATTGTATGCAGACTACTGGTTCCTTGCCTCCCAGGTAGATGCACTCTGACTTGAAAAAAGTCCCTAAAACGTCTACACTCATGACAGGATTGTTGTGGAGGCAATGGGTCTATTCTGGTTTCCCCATAATTGAGCCCCAGAGCCCACACAGGGACCATGTTTTTGTTGATTACCACAGCTCAGTATACCCCAAGGCTCCACTGAAAGAGGTAAATTAGAGGGAGAGGAAATTATACACAGATTATAACCTCACATGAATAAAATTTTCCTTTAGAAATTTTTTTAAAATCCTCACGACAAAACCTGTTTCTACTGACTACAGTACCCCGTTTTAAGGTGGTGTAGGACAGTGGTTACTTCAGCCTGAGAACTGTGCAGGTCAGGGTGTTTGTTTTTGCCTGCAAGAGAAATAACACCCATCGACTTACTGAAGATTTGAATCCTGGTTTCTCACATGAGAACTCAGCATTCTAACCACTAGATTGACTGATCCTTGTAGTTGTAACAGATAAACCTAAAACTCAAAGGGTATTGGGGGGAGGGGTGTAATTATCAAAATATGCCTGATCTGAAACAGACTGTGTCTGGAGTACAAGGACTAGACAGTGAGTAGCCTTTTTGGCACTATTGCCATACACCAGTATGAGCCAGTATACATGTGCTAGGCTTACACAGGGACCTGGTAACATCCTAAAATGCCTCTCAGTGAATGTAAAACCCTTGCTGGTTTCTTGACTTGCAAAGGGGAAGCCCATTTTAGCTGGGTCAACACAGGATCCTAAGTCAATTTAAAAAATTCTACACTGGGTGCAGACCGAAATCCACAGCCACCAAGTTAGTTAGTCGACAGATTATCCTCATTGCACATTGGACCACTCAGTCCATAAGTGCTTGGATCCCCTCCTCAGTAAATCCTGCAGCGTGTTGCTAATGATACCAGTTCTGTGTTGGTTTATTATTCTTCGACTACCTGCATAGTGTTCTTGTTTAGCCACACCCCGTTTAACATTTAACATGTTGTTCTTGCAGTCTGACCATGGTTGCAGATTCACAGTTCTCAGTTCACCAAGCCAGGAGGCTTTTAGCTACTGCACTACCATGATACACAGTAATTTACCAACACAAAACTGGGCTACATACCTGTAGGCAAGGAACTGTAGTAATATACCACTGGATGAAGAAAGTTGGAAGCATGGGCTTCAGCAGGTTCCCCAGTTGCTCGCCCAGCACGGAAAATATCATTTCCTGGTCCTGAGAAATTGCGACCATACTCCATGACCAAAACTAGAACAGATGTGGCATCAATGCCAGTGTGCTGAGGAAACTGATGCAGCAGATTGATAGGGAAGTCTTCTATGTAAGTTACTGTCTTCTGATCACTGTAAGTAATAAGCAGAAAGCTGCATAAGTGATATATTGATGCATAAAGATGGTTGCTTGGCTGCCAACCTTTTAATAGAACATTATTTAAAAATATTAAGATTGTGTATTAGTGGTTTTATACAGCATTACAAAGTCTATGGTTAAAAACCAGCAAAGGAAATCAAAATTAAAATTTTGAGAGCAGGCATCTTCCCTATAGCAACATACAGATGTGAGTCGTGGACTATCTCACAGTCCTTAAGAAAGAAAATAGGGGCTTTTGAGCTGAAATGCTATAGAAAGATTCTCAGAATACCAAGGACAAAGGAGAGAATAAATATTGACATTTGGAAAGATCTGAACATCAAGGAAGATTGGCTAAGAAACAGCATCTTGTCTCGGAAGCTGAAATATTTTGGTCATGTCAAGCGCTATGGCAGATTGGAAAAAAATAATAGCAGAAGGCATGGAACCAGGAAGGAGGGGCAGGGGCTGACCAACATGAAGATGGGCACATGGTATAAGTGACTCCTAGAGTATGAACGTACACAAGCCGGAGAGATGGCGAAAGAATGAGTTTCTTTAAGACAATGATGAGAGCAACATTCTGCAAAGGACCTGCTACATGATGGTGATTGATGGTTAGGTTGTTAGCCTGAAAAGGGCTTTCATCTACCAGAGTGAGGCTGTTGTACAGAATATTTTTTTTTCTTTTATGACCCAGTAACAAAGTATCATCTTCAGACAGACCATTTTGCAGTCTTCATCCTCCTTCTAAGTCAAGTGAAAAAAGTGCAGTGAACAAGACTTACTTACTTACTTTCTGTCTGTCTGTCTGTCTTTCTTTCCTTTATTTTTTTCTTTCTTTCCTTTCTTTCTTTCCTTTCCTTTCCTTTCTTTCCTTTCCTTTCTTTCCTTTCTTTCCTTTCCTTTCTTTCCTTTCCTTTCCTTTCCTTTCTTTCCTTACCTTTATTTCCTTTCCTTTCTTTCCTTTCCTTTCTTTCCTTTCTGTCCTTTCCTTTCTGTCCTTTCCTTTCTGTCCTTTCCTTTCTGTCCTTTCCTTTCTGTCCTTTCTTTTCTGTCCTTTCTTTTCTGTCCTTTCTTTTCTGTCCTTTCTTTTCTGTCCTTTCTTTTCTGTCCTTTCTTTTCTGTCCTTTCTTTTCTGTCCTTTCTTTATTTTCCTTTCTTTATTTTCCTTTCTTTATTTTCCATTCTATTCTTTCCTTTCTTTTCTTTCCTTTCTTTTCTTTCCTTTCTTTCCTTTCCTTTCTTTCCTTTCCTTTCTTTCCTTTCCTTTCTTTCCTTTCCTTTCTTTTCTTTCCTTTCCTTTCTTTCTTTCCTTTCTTTTCTTTCCTTTCTTTTCTTTCCTTTCTTTTCTTTCCTTTCTTTTCTTTCCTTTCTTTTCTTTCCTTTCTTTTCTTTCCTTTCTTTTCTTTCTTCCTTTCTTTTCTTTCTTCCTTTCTTTTCTTTTCTATCCTTTCTTATCTTTTCTTTTCTATCCTTTCTTTTCTTTCTTTCTTCTTTCTTTCTTTCTTTCTTTCTTTCTTTCTTTCTTTCTTTCTTTCTTTCTTTCTTTCTTTCTTTCTTTCTTTCTTTCTTTCTTTCTTTCTTTCTTTCTTTCTTTCTTTCTTTCTTTCTTTCTTTCTTTCTTTCTTTCTTTCTTTCTTTCTTTCTTTCTTTCTTTCTTTCTTTCTTTCTTTCTTTCTTTCTTTCTTTCTTTCTTTCTTTCTTTCTTTCAATAAAGTTGACTCACTGGAGGTTTCCTTTAAAGTCAGATTGCATCTGCATGAGAAGCAAGGAACAAACAGTCTGCATACAAATAAGTCAGATCCATAAAACAGATGTGCATGCAACCAGGTTCTGGAACAAGACTAGAGTGCAGAAGTGGACAAACGACCAGAACTTTCCGTTTACAGCCAGTGAAGAAGAAGAAGAAGAAATGTCTCATATTGTGGAGATTTATATTAGGATATGTAACCAGATCTAAGGTAATCTTACTGGTAGTAACAGGGATCAAAGGGTTAAAGTGATACTTGCATGGGAGTGAATAACTACAGGGACAGTTACAATCCAAAACTGCAGAAGACAATAATGTTTAATTAAATGGTTAATGAAAAGAGCCTCTTTGACATCTTGAGGGGTATTGGGCACATCACTAGGATTACAGCAAAGACATCCGAGTTCACTTTGAGAGATTTTCAGCTAAATGCATTTTCAGGACTGTTATCAGACCTTTACAGTATGCCAGATTTAAAGTAAATGTCTCTTTACACGTCAGTGGCACATTGGGAGTATAAGGCTAGACATTTTTATAAACCATTCAGCCCTAAATGAGTGATGGGTGAACATCAAGACGGCCACCTTTACTTCCTAGGATTTCACCTAGTAGTCAGTTAAGACCAAGCTGAAGTGAGAGTTAGGAGTAAATTATAGAGGGTATGATACTGTGCAGATTTGAACCCATGGCCTTTGGATTAGCAGACAAGTGTCTAGCTGCTACACCATGGCTTTTGCTGCCAAAAGTAAATGTGTAAATTCTTACTCCAAATGGGTCTTCTTCTTCTTCTTTTTCTTCTTCTTCTTCTTCATTCATCATCCAGATGGGTCAAAATAAAGTATTAATTTTCAAGCAACTACACACATTTTTAGAAAGCTCTAAATGTTCAAATGCAGTTTTCTCAAAACAAGGTCATACTGGCATAGTACCAATGATATAGTATTCTTCTTCTTCAGCATTCCAAGCCCTTGAGGTTCATTGCTGCAGATTCACCCACCTCCATTCATCTCTCTGGTTGGCTTTCTATTTCCAGTTGGTGACACCAAGTGTTTGCAGGTCTGTCTGGACATTATTTTTCCATCGTCTTCTTGGTCTGTCTCATGGTCTACAACCATTCATCTTCCTTGTGTATACAGTTTTCTCTTCTCTGTCATCTGAATTCTCTCAATATGCCCCAACCATTTCAGTCTATTAGCTCTCATGATGCCAGTGATCAGTGGTGATTTACACCGATTATGAATTTCAGCGCATAAATGCATTTGAATATAAATGTTACAGACAGGTTCTAAGAATATCTTGGGTAAAGAAAAGAACAAATGCATCCATACTTCAAGAGCTGAATATTGAAGAGGGTTGGCTAGTAAAGACAATAAAACAAAGAAAATTGAAATATTTTGTTCACTTGAAACGTCATAGAAGTCTAGAGAGAACAATAACGGAGGGGTATATGCCTGGGAAGAGAGGAAGAGGAAGGCCAAGGAGAAGGTGGGTGCAGGATGTGGCAGATGATCTCCAGATGGGTGTATCAGACGCAGGACATCTTGCTCATGATAGGAAGGTTTTCCGGAGGGTTGTTATGGCAGCGAGGTTCCGCGAGGGACATGCTACTGAATGAATGAATGAATTTCATTGTTGCTTCTCACTCTCCATTCACCGCTGTTTGCATCTCTGATGGGTCCAAAGTTTCGTCAAAAGACTCTGTTTTCGAAAACCTCTAATAAGGCTTCATCTCTTTTAGTTATGCTCCAAGTTTTATAGCCACATAAAACGACTGGTAATGATATGGTATTAGTCCCATAATTTTCTCCTAGAACAATCACCACTCAATGGGTCATATGAACTGAACTCATAACCTTCAGAGCATGGAACAAGTAGCTTAGCCACTTTGAAGTGGAGACCCTCTACTGGAAATAATGAATTTCAACTGACCTTGAAAGGACTGCAACATCACCAAGACACTGTGGAGGATAAAATAACAAGTTCTTGCTTTAACACTGACATATTACTGAAGATGTGTTTGTCTATAAATTGTAACAACAGGAAAATATTACAGCTTGTAACTTCTAATATTAACATGCCACAGCTGTGGTGGCAGTCTGGTTTACAAACTCTCTAGCTTACTAGTACAATGCCAAGAGTTCAATTCCCAGTGATGGGGGAGGGGGGGGGGGGGCAGGGTTACTGTTTTAGCAACACCAATAGCTCATAGGTTTGCCCAGACTCATAAATGAGTGAGAGATTTTTCCAGGGAGAGGTGAAAGGTAAGAGAACAGGTCACCACATCTTTCAAAGATCTAGGGTTGAATGTTGAATTAGGAATCAACATCACAGCACTCGGGACATCCCGTAAGCGCTCCGACCCATCTTCAGCAGCAAGCGAAGAGTTAAAATTCCGATGGTACCAGTTACTGTCTGATTGTATTTCCGTCTCGGCTTTTTCCTGAGTATCGAGCGTCAGCCAGATCCCCTTGTAACTCCTCGCAGTGCCATTCTCCTCAGCCCGTAACATCCATCTGTTTCTCTTCGTTTGACTATGTCACTTGTTCCCAGAGGGCCTTGACCACATCTGCCTTGTCATGTATTAATTCACACCCAGTGGTGGAGATCCGGCCAATCTGTCTGCCTGTTCATTCCCCAACACACTGGCATGGCCTGGAGAAAAGAAAAATCCAAAGTATGCTCACTACTCGCGACAGTGACCACAATTAAGGTTGGTTACAGCACATCCACTACTGTCTTTGGGAATTGTATATGATGAGGCCTCCAATCTCTTCCATGGTGTGACTCTTCTACCACTGTCTCTACCACAGTTAATTTAACAAACTGTGCACCACAGAAATGAAACACCAGTGCCTAAGGATCATGAATGTGAATATACTAAACTGCTACCTGAATTCTCCCACTGAAAATATTACTTTGTACTCTGGTCTTGTTTCACTATTTCTGAACAATGATAATTGCAAATCCATTCAATATGCCATTTCAATGGTTTGAGATGAATTCTGCCTACACTACATAGTTGTGGACTGAAGCTGTATGACAGACTTGGCTAATGAAGAACCTTTATTTAGGGTGCCTAGTTAGTCATGCATGTTAGTACAGCCTAGTTAGTCATGCGTGTTAGTACAGCCTAGTTAGTCATGCGTGTTAGTACAGCCTAGTTAGTCATGCGTGTTAGTACAGCCTAGTTAGTCATGCATGTTAGTACAGCCTAGTTAGTCATGCCTGTTAGTACAGCCTAGTTAGTCATGCGTGTTAGTACAGCCTAGTTAGTCATGCGTGTTAGTACAGCCTAGTTAGTCATGCCTGTTAGTACAGCCTAGTTAGTCATGCCTGTTAGTACAGCCTAGTTAGTCATGCGTGTTAGTACAGCCTAGTTAGTCATGTGTGTTAGTACAGCCTAGTTAGTCATGCGTGTTAGTACAGCCTAGTTAGTCATGCGTGTTAGTACAGCCTAGTTAGTCATGCGTGTTAGTACAGCCTAGTTAGTCATGCGTGTTAGTACAGCCTAGTTAGTCATGCGGGTTAGTACAGCCTTGTTAGTCATGCGTGTTAGTACAGCCTAGTTAGTCATGCGTGTTAGTACAGCCTAGTTAGTCATGCGTGTTAGTACAGCCTAGTTAGTCATGCGTGTTAGTACAGCCTAGTTAGTCATGCGTGTTAGTACAGCCTAGTTAGTCATGCGTGTTAGTACAGCCTAGTTAGTCATGAGGGTTAGTACAGCCTTGTTAGTCATGCGTGTTAGTACAGCCTAGTTAGTCATGCGTGTTAGTACAGCCTAGTTAGTCATGCGTGTTAGTACATTTGTTTCTTTAGCAAGGTGATGTCATGATTTAGAGGTGACAGCTTTGATTCCCAGCATGTTACCTATAGCTTTCGATTTTTACCTTGTCTAGTGTGTCCTTAGAGTTCCCGTGGCGTAGCGGCTAGACGCTCACGTGTGGGTTGGAAGATCGTGGATTCGCTCCCTGGTGGAGCCGGGCTATTTTAAAAAATGACCTTGACTGGTTGACCCAGCCGTGTGTGGTTACGGGGCGCAAGTCCTGGGAAGTAAAGGCGGCCGGCATGATGCTGACCACATCACCCATCTTGTACCGATTGGTCTATAAAAATATAGGTCTAGCCCTATCTGCGCTAAAGGCGTGGAAAAGGGACATTTAATTTTGTTTAAAGTGTGTCCTACTACTTCTTTCTATGAGTGCCGACCAATACATGTCTATTTGTTTATTGCACATTCACATTCAATGCATATTCCAGAGATAAGTTGAGAACTGATACCACATCACACTAGGCATTCTTATACTTTTCTATCTCGATCTTTAGCGGCTCATGCAGAGTTTCAGTACTATTTGTGTCAGCTGCAGTCTAATGATATGTTTTGAGCCTTCTTCAGTGTGAACCAGATCCTATGGTCAATCTGCTTTGTATAATTCTTTCCAGGCTTTAGTGATCTGTTCATTCTTGTGTGTTGTTCATGTGCTTACAAAGAGCCTTAACAAGCATCAATTTACTATTCAGTTGTGCAGAAACAGCCTGTATGTTTGTGTAATTCTCAACCCACCATCATGCTCTGGAGAAAAGATTCAAAGGATGTTGCTGCTGTAAGGCTGCAGGGGTCGACTGCATGCTGAGGAAGATAGGAAGCATCCCAGGGGCCAACATGGAGCCATTCAGCATTAATGTCAACTCTGACAGTTACACAAGTAAAATATTTTAGTTATTTGACTAAAGTGAAGTTCCTCACACACGAGCTGCACAGGTTCACCCAATGAACAACCCAAACCCAGCTGCAACCATCACATATACATTTACTGACATAGATGTTGATGCACTTTGGCACTAATAATGAAGATGTGTTAAATAGATAACTCAGCACACTGTAACTGGTTACAAAATAACATTGCTTAATGACTTAGAATCAGCACATCTGTACAATAATAGTTTGTAAACCAGACTGCATGCCCTGGGGAAGCAGACAAAGCAGTGCTGCTATCAAACACCCACAAGTTCACACCACAGCCCTCTAGTGCAGAAAATAAGGCTGGTGCTAATCACTTGGATAGTTGCTCTTCTGCCATGAGCTATTTAAATCCACACAAAAAAAAAAACAGTACCAAGAAATATTTTAGGAAGTAGAGGCAGCTGGTACGGTACTGGCCAGCAGCTGGTGCGGTACTGGCCAGAAGTTGGTATGGTACTGGCCAGCAGCTGGTATGGTACTGGCCAGCAGCTGGTACGGTACTGCCCAGAAGCTGGTACGGTACTGGCCAGCAGCTGGTATGGTGATGGCCAGCAGCTGGTACGGTACTGGCCAGCAGCTGGTATGGTGATGGCCAGCAGCTGGTACGGTACTGGCCAGCAGCTGGTATGGTACTGCCCAGAAGCTGGTACGGTAATGGCCAGCAGCTGGTACGGTACTGGCCAGCAGCTGGTATGGTGATGGCCAGCAGCTGGTACGGTACTGGCCAAATAGCTCACTGATATGCCAACTGGTCTTTATAAACGGCTGGTATAGTATTCCCAATATGCCTAAAGGTTCAGAGAGAAGTCCTTTATTTTACTTACATGATGATACAGATCATGGAAACAAATTAGAGCCAAAATATAAAACTGTGTCTAACCTGAAACATTTGGTAAATGCCAGATGCTTCATTGATCCTCTTGAGGATGATATTGATCAGCTGTGACCTGGGAAAGGTTACTGAGGGCCACACAACTCCTTCATACCTCCATTCCAGTAGCCGGTGTAAGGCTCGAGCTTGAGACAAAAAAAAAAAAAAAAGTGCTACTTCATGACCTCAAGGTATTTGCCTGAAAGTACTGCATCATAGGGAAGCCGCTGTGGTGTAATAGCTAGGTGCTGGCCTCAGACCTAAAGGTTGTAGGTTTAAATCTGAATTGAGCTGGATTTTTGCCTATAAAAAAATTACCTAGACTCCCAGGTCGACCTAGCCTAAAATGGGCATCAGGTAAAGTCATGGGATGTAAAGGTGCCGGTGTGATGTTGACTATTTTATGTAATCAGACATTTGTCAGAAAGTGCCACTATGTAGCTGAAACATTTGTCTGAAAGTCCCACTATGTAGCCAAAACATTTGTCTGAAAGAGCCACTATGTAGCTGAAACATTTGTCTGAAAGAGCCACTATGTAGCTGAAACATTTGTCTGAAAGTGCCACTATGTAGCTGAAACATTTGCCTGAAAGTGCCTCTATGTAGCTGAAACATTTGCCAGAAAGTGCCACTATGTAGCTGAAACATTTGCCTGAAAGTGCCACTATGCAGCTGAAACATTTGCCTGAAATTCACCTATGTAGCTGAAACCTTTGCCTGAAAGTGCCACTATGTAGCTGAAACATTTGCCTGAAAGTGCCATTATGTAGCTGAAACATTTGCCTGAAAGTGCCACTATGTAGCTGAAACATTTGTCTGAAAGTGCCACTATGTAGCTGAAACATTTGCCTGAAAGTGCCACTATGTAGCTAAAACATTTGCCTGAAATTGTCACTATGTAGTTGAAAAAAAAGGCAGAGGGTATATTCTCTCTCCCAAAATGGGGCTCCAAAATCCACATGGGAAGAAAAATTCATCAAATCAAGGACAAGCCTTAAAAAATTGGGGGAGATTTAAAAAAAAAACCAGAAGACAGTAAAGACTAACACAGAAGTCACCAAGTTGCAGACCTGGCTTGGCTTCTACAGAAGCACCTCTACAGCACACACATTGTCAACACTGTGTTGTCAGTGACAAAATTGAGATATTATAAAAGGCCCAGATATGTCAAATTAAAGATCACCCGGGGAAAGACTCGCTAACTTGACCACCTGAGACTGAATGAGAAATTATACAATGAGACAGACTTTGGGAATAACATTTTGCACCAAATTCAGTAAAAAGCAGAAGATCAAATGATCTGATAATCTAATCTGAATGAAGCCACAGCAACTACCAATACAGGCTTGACTTCTAAAAAGATCTGATGGAAAACTCACAGGGCACCCAAGAAGAACATGGACTGACAACACTAAAGACAATATACATCTATGCAGAACAACAATGTCTAGTACTAAAATCAAGTGATGGACCAGAAACTGTACCTCCCTATAACACTTAACAACAAAGTTGAAAGTTCACGATGATGATGATGACATTCATTAGTGCTCAAGTCTACTCCCAGGATCACATTATGAGGCTCTCCCTGTGTGGGTTCTAGGGACCCCATTGTGGAGAAAACAAAAATAGACCCACTGCCTCCCCAACATGCATGTCATAAGAGTTGACTAATTGGGGGCTTTCTTTGAAGTGGGAGTGCATCTGCCTGAGAGGCAAGGAACCAACAATCTGCATACAAATAAGTCAAATCTGTAAAATGGATTACAACACTCAGGTTCCGGAAGAAGACTAAAGTCTAAGGGTGAAAGAACAAATAAAACTTTCTGCTGTAGTTTTCAGCCAGTGAACATGAAGAAGAAGAAGAAACTATGAGGTTTAAAAAAAAAATTTATCAAACTTAGAATACTAGCAAAGATTCTAATATCGATATACCAGAAATAAACATTCTTGAAATCAGCGTTTGTAGGAACGTTTCTAATATCAAAACCTCTCCTAAGCAATGGCCTATCTGGCGAAGTAGATTTTTTTTTTATTCCCCCCCCTCCCCAGGACTGCAACCTGAAGGTTTGAACACCCCTTCCTTATTGCAGTAATTCAAGGGAACACAATTTATATGCCATATACAGCTAGAGCTGCTTTTGGAAGGATGAGGCAAATCTGGAAATCCAACAATTACTGCAGAGGAACAAAACTCCGACGATACAAGAGCATCATTTTGCTAGTTCTTCTTTATGGAGCGGATTGCTGGAGAATTACCAAAAAGGATGCACACAAGCTGTCTACCTTCCACCACACATGTCGACATAGAATTATCAAAATATTCTGGCCAGATACAATCTCAAATACTAAACTACTTCAAGTCACAAACCAAGAAACTTTAGACAATATGATAACCAAGAGAAGTTGGAAATGGCTTGGCCACGTTATGAGAATGAATCCTGATATACCTGACAAAACAGCTCTCACATGGACACCAGAGGGAAAGAAAAAACAGGGGCGCCCAAAAACAACATGGAGAAGAACGATGGAAAGTGACCTGAGTGCGGCATCTTTGACATGGAAAACTGCACTGAAGATAACACAGGACAGGAAAGCACGGAAAGTCCTCTCTGAAGCCTCATGTGCCACTAGACACAACGAGAACTGATGATGATATAGTAAAGTAAAGTAAAGGACCATTTTCTATGCCTTTCAGGCGTATTGGGTATATAGGGCTAGACCTCTATTTTATAGACCAGATCGCACTTGGAGGGTGATGTAGTCAGCATCACGTTGGTCACCTTTACTTCCCAGGACTGTACCTAGCACCCACTCAAGGCTGAGTCGACATGGGAGCCAAGGTCATTTTTGAAAAATGTCTGGCCCCCATCAAGAACTTAACCTAGGACCTTCCGATCCGCAATATGCCATATATGAGAAAGAAAAATAACAGAATTACGAGTACAGAAAAAATCCAATCATAAACTTAACAAAAACAACTTATTTCTTATGTGACCGTCAATGTAGATGTGTACAGGAGAATTCACAGTGGGTATTAAAAATAATAATCTGTCATCATATAATTAAAAAAAAAACACAAAAAAAACACACACAAATCAGAATACAAGTCACTACATACTGTGATAATATATGGCCAATCAACATACCCACCTGTGTATCTAAATCCATGGATGAATCCACCTGCAGATTTGCGGAAGTCCAAGGAGTGAGATGCAGTACCTGCATAGAACAACCCTTTTAAGTCCACAGACTCGTAATTGTAGTCAATGGCTGGATACTTTTTGGCTCGAGCTTTGCCACGAGTGATAACTGTATTACTGAGAAAATAAATGATAGTAGGTTTCATTACATTTATTCAATCTATACAACTTTTACATGAAAGCAGCAATTTTCGATATAATTAGTTTAATAAAACTTTAATAAATCTCTTTATTTATCTATTCCTCCTTCCAGGATTGCTATTTGAAAGTGTGACACCTCAGTGACTCCTACCCACATTTGTATGCTGATTAAACAGGAAACAACCTTAGATTCGCCATTCAGCTTTACCAAATAGTTATACTGAGGCAACTTACAGTTACATCAAGCATTATTTTGGTGTACCATGTTGTCCCAGGAGGGGTTAGAGCTGAAAGAGGCAAAAAAAAAATGAGGTGAAGCAAAATAGAATGTATGGAAGAAAAGATATTGAAGTTAGAAAGAGCTGGAAAATGTTGATACAGTGCATACCACTTAAGGTGATCTCAGATGTGGCTAATTTATGTTGTGAACAACAAATTATTTATCCCTGGCAATTTTTCTTGCTTGAATTCTTATCCGGATTAATGGAATTTCTGATAAGAAGAACCATTTCTTGGTTTCCGGTGAGTTCTTCTTATCAGGTATGCACTGTAATTAACTAGGGTATGATGACATCAGAAACCGTGGAGCATCATGAGAAGTATAGGGTTCCCAGCACATTTATTAACATTTAATTTAAAGTTTAAATCATGAACCATAAGTAACCATCACAGAAGCTGCCGACACATCAAATTAGTTTGAGGTACAAAAGGAAGTGTGGCATTGGGTGCATGATCTCACCATATCTATTTAATATATATGCAAGTAGCATTTGTTATATATTAAAAAAAAAAAAATGACCAGACTTGTGACACTTATTATGGCTTATAAGTGGTGGCAACCCAACTACATACATTTGTTCCAAAGAGTTTTCCTTTCATACTGTGTACAGGGAATAGAACATTTAGTTCATGTCTGCCCAAAAACACAATGCAGATCAAAATCTGTTTCTGAATGTAAAGAAAACAATAATAGTGTTCACCGAAAATAAATCCTGTCACCCAAAAGTAACAATAAACGAAGACACTGCAAATGTCACAAACTTTGAATATCTAGGACTTGAAAAAAAAAGTTAAAAGCAAGATAACCATAGCAATGTAAAGATTAAACAGAATAAAAAGTCTATGACAAAGCACCAGCTAGGAAATCAAAGTCAACATTTTGAGAGTATGAATCTTTTCTGTAGGAATATGTGGATGTCAGTTGTAGGCTATCTCACAATCGTTAAAGAAGAAGATAGGGGCTTATGAGCTGAAATGCTTTAAAAGGATTCTCAGAATCCCAGGGAATAAAAAGAAAATAAAAAGAAAAAGAAAAGAAATACTGACATCAAAAAAGATCTCAACATCAATGAAAATATCTTGTCTTGGAAACTGAAATATGATGGCCTCTACAGTGGTCTGGAAAGAAAACAATGATATGGGAAAAAAAACGGCAGCAGAGGGCATGGTATTGGAAAAGTGGAACAGGGACTGACCAGCACGGAGATGGGCACAGAATGTGGTAGATACCTTGGGTAGGAAAGTGCACGAGGTGGGAGAGCTGGCAAGGGACCAAGTTTCTTTCAAGTGGGCGTGATGAAAAGGATGTTCTACAAAGGATCTGCTACATGATGAAGATGTTGATAATGCTTAAAGAAAAGTAAGTTATTTAAGAGCAATAAATCAACATATAGTATGTAGTCTGGTATGGCAATGGGGCACAGTAATTTATAATAGTCTTTCTTCCCCATGTGGGTTCGGGGGCCTCAATCTGGAAGAGAGAGGGAAGAATAGATCCACTGCCTCTTCAATATGTATGTCGTTAAAGGCAACTAATTATTGATTTTCCCTCCAAAGTCAAAGTGCATCTGCATTTATTAATTGAAAAAAAAAATTATGAGTGTCCTGTGTAATATGGCTGTTTTTCTAATGATTTTTCTGGGAACTGTCATGGGTTTAAGATCCCTTTTTTTTTAAAGCATTCAAACTTAAAAGAGAAGTTAAGACATATGCAGGCGGATTGATAATATGAAATGAAAACTGTATAATTGTGCCTGTCTGCTCAATTTGTAAAATATATAATTTAAAAGAGTGAGTCTGAGACTTATAGGCAGATGGATTGTTAGCATCAAACTTACTTGAATACAGTGTCATCAAATTTAAATCCCAAAGCCCTAATCACAACATCATACGGCTCTCGCAAGGAAAAATTATCAACATCGTAGGCTTTTGCAACACTCGGATGTGGAGTGAGATATATTTTCTTTCCTTTCTGTGTGAAGACTGCCTTTGATAGTGATCCTTCCATGAGGCCATCTAGTGACTTCAACTGATAGGTGTCCAACAATCCATTATTGACAGCACTGTAAAGAGATGCAAATAAAGAAAACACTGTTTCCTGTTTCAAAGAATATTTCCTCAGGTTAGTAAGTAACCTGTGTGGGTTCCAGGAGCCTATTGTGGGGAAAACTTTGTGGGAAAAATGTGTGAACTGCCAGACTAGCATCTAGTCACTATGTCACCTTGGCCCCCTCCCCATGTTAGACTTCAAATTAAAGTTTATTGTAATTTCTATGACCATTTTAAGGTTTTCATTTGAAGCTCCCTTGTACAATACAAAGACAGCTGAATTCCACCTGTTGTTGTTCAACAACAATACACCAAACATTACCATTATGTCTTTCTTCTGTTTTATTAAATGATTCAACTATAATACAATAACCCTAATGTGAATTCTATTTTTTCGCTTACATTTATTCAACTATAATAGCTCATAAGGGCATTCCCTAGGTGAGAGAAAGGACTTAACAAATATCCTAAATTTTATTCCATTTGGTCTGATCTCTCTTTACAAAAAAGCTGTTTGTCTGCTGACAGTGCTACACACAGACAAACCTCCATAGCTACAATGAAGACCTACAGCAATCTCCAAACCTGCTGCACTTGCAGTCTGAAGGATGGAGTGCAAAATAAAACACACAACCTTTAAACAGCTTAACCCTTTGCCAGAAAGACTCCATACATAGAATTATCAAAATTTTCTGGCCAGATACAATCTCAAACACTAAACTACTTCAAGCCACAAACCAAGAAACTTTAGACAGTATGATTACCAAGAGAAGATGGAAATGGCTTGGCCACGTTATGAGAATGACTTCTGATTACCTGCCAAAACAGCTCTCACATGGACACCAAAGGGAAAGAGAAAACAGGGGCGCCCAAAAACAACATGGAGACGAACCATGGAAAGTGACCTGAGTGCGGCATCTTTGACATGGAAAACTGCACTGAAGATTGCACAGGTCAGGAAAGCATGGAAAGTCCTCTCTGAAGCCTTATGTGCCACTAGGCATAACGAGAACTGAAGAAGAAGAGAGACCCCATGATGAATTCACTATTGAGGGGATACCAGTATCTGATCTCCCTGTGGGGGATTAGAATTGCCATTTTGGGGGAACAAAGAATATGACCCCCCCCCCCTCCCAACCGCCCTCTCCTCTACAATATTTAGTTACATATTCTTACAGGATGTTGTAAAACCAACCCCAGCATTTTTTGGCTATTGTGATTTTTATAGACAAATTTTATGTTCAGTAGTTTGCCATTCCTTTCTAAACAGTCAGCTCTCGAAAACAGTGCAAGACAAATCGTCCGCAGCTGGGACTGAACCCAGCACTCCAGCATTATGAAGTGCATTTGCAACGCTTAAGCCACAGACACTGAACGTCTACAACAAGCATGTCATAAAAGGTGACTAATTAGGAGTATCTCCTCCAAAGTCCTGAAAGATGAGAGAACCAACAGTCTGCATACAGATAAACCATACAAATAAGTTAGGTCTGTAAAATGGATATGCCCATAAAACTCAAGTTCTGGAGCAAGACAAATGTCTAGAAGGGGATGAACAACCACAACTTTGTGCTGGAGTTTACAGTCGGTGAACATTAAGAAGAATTTTTTGTTTTTCCCCTCAGGGCTGCTACCTAAAGGTCTGACACCTTTAGGTTGAAAAATCTCCACCTGGATGGCAGATATAAAAGGCAACTCCCAAATACCCGGTTCAAACTCACAAAAAGTTATAACTGGGACACTTCTAACAGCTACATCAGTCCTGTGTGGGTAAGGAGTGTATAAACTGCAATGGCTTTAGAGTAGCTGAAATCTTACATTATGAATCTTTAGTGCAGCTTAAATCTTACACTATGAATCATTAGTGTAGCTGAAATCTTACACTATGAATCTTTAGTGCAGCTGAAATCTTACACTATGAATCTTTAGTGCAGCTGAAATCTTACACTATGAATCTTTAGTGCAGCTGAAATCTTACACTACGAATCTTTAGTGCATCTGAAATCTTACACTATGAATCTTTAGTGCAGTTGAAATCTTACACTTTGAATCTTTAGTGCAGCTGAAATCTTACACTATAAATCTTTAGTGCTGCTGAAATTTTACACTATTAATCTTTAGTGCTGCTGAACTATTACACTATGAATCTTTAGTCTAGTTAATGTGGTATATAATAAATTCATATTTGATATGATTCCTGACATAATTATTTAATGTTTTCGGGCAGCTGACACATTAAGCATCATGAATTTGAGTGCATGCGGTATTGTAAGATTTAATATTAAGAAAAACAGTAACAAGATAGAATGTAATTATTAGCTGCACAGTTTTATGGTTTAATAAATGTAAGCAAAACAGTAGAAAGATATAATTCACCATCATTTATTTTGTTTCCCAGTTGAATAAATAAATCAAACAGACAGAGACAGGATGTTACTGTTTGATGATTTGTATTACAGTTGAATGTATCTAAAACAGTGAGCAGATAAAATTCACCTTCATCTGTGTTGTATTATGGTTGCAAGAATAAAATAAAACAGCACAAATATAGAATGTCACTGTTTGGTGTAACAGTTGAAACAATGACAAGATAGAGTGTATTATCCGCTGACTGTTTACAGTTAAATGAATATAAGTAAACATGGAAGGATAGAATATCATTGTTAGCTGTACTGTATTATGGTTAGGTAAAGGAAAAGGTGAAGGCGAGAGGATTGACTTCATTGTACCAGGTTTTATCCAATATGGCTCAGTCTCTTCGCAAAACAGCTAGCTGCCTGCCAAGAGGATTGCACACAGCACAACCATTTATAGCTCCAAAGATGATCCCCAGGGATTGCTGTAAAAATTGCAGTCGTGAACTGAACGATGATGCCACTGTCAAACGAACCCATGACTTTCAGAGTACGAGGCAAACGGTTTGACCTCTTTGCCACAGATACCCCTTGTATTATGGCTGAAAGAATGTGTGTATAAAAATGCAGAAAGACTTTCAGCTAAATTTTAACTGTATATGGAAGAATGAAAACAAGTAAAAAAACAGTATGACACTGTCAGCTGTATCGTAATTGGAATGAAAGTATATAAACCGTACAAATGTTAGCAGACACACTTACCTGCCGGTCAGAAGGTCATGGGTTCAAATCAGCATTGACACAATTTCTTTCTTTAACTCTTTGAGTCCCAAGGAACGCATCATACGTTCATAGGTTCCTAACTAGAGGCCCAGTGAATGCAAGATGCGCCGATTTTACGTTTCTCTTGACTATCCCCTTGGGCCTCTGATGCTGAACCCCCTGGGACTCAAAGAGTTAAAAGTGACCCTGGCTCCCAGCTTAAAATGGGTACCATATTATGTTCTGGGAAGTAAAAGTGACAGGCATGATGCTGACCACATCATTCACTGAGTGCTGATGACTGTAAAAACATGAATCTAGCATCATATGCCAGAGACACCACTGGTGTAAAAGCATCCTTTACTTGACTTTACTTTGGTTCATGAGTGCAGTTTTTAAGAAATCATGTGGAGATCATTACCAGAGCTATGGTATTTGTGCTCTGTGTAATGCTCTCACAGGTGAATTGCCATTCTGTGGCGAGAGATCAAGCCGTGCTGGAGAAAACTTGATGCAATGAAGTCAATTCTCTTGACTTTCAACTTTTAACAACGGTTATCACAAATAACAAACAATCATTCCTTCTGACACAACTATCACTATCTATCTTTCTCTCCTTCCATGCGTACATTACCGTAGATCTCCTACATAATGTGTGGCCCAGGAGAGTCTGACACGAGAACGGGAAATCATGTGAATCAGATTTGAAGAGCCATAGATAGCATCAGCAAACTCAAATGCTGCATTGCCTCGACCTGCACAGAAAGCCAGCCAGATATACTTTAATGTTTGTTAGTTTCTGTAATGACACTAGATAATATATTAATGAGTTCAACAGTAATCACAATCACAAAGTAGTCACACAGTAGATTTTTATGCTTGTCAGTTTCTGTAATGACACTAGATGATATATTAACAAATTCAACATAAATGACAATCATATAGAAATCACACAGCAGATTTTGGTGTTTGATAGTTTCTGTAATGACGCCAGACGCAAATATTAATGAGTTCCACATTGATGACAATCATAAAGCGATCCCACAGCATGAACTATTATAAACAAAATAAAACCTTGACATAATTTACCAAAGAAGTCAATGTAGTGCAGCAGCTAGCATGCTTGTTTGCATGTCTGGTTACAGTCAAGTTACATTTCAAAAATTAACCTCCTTCTTCTTCTTTTCGTTCTCCTGCCAGTGGTTTTCATATGAGAAGGCCACATGCCTCAATGAAGTCTCTGGTGCACTGCATGTCTTCCATTGTTCCACACAGCTTGATCTCTGATGGAATGCCAACTGGCCAAACATGAAATTTCTCTACTGTATTTAGAGAGCAAGTCTGTAATGAATTCTGTGGTGCCTGTCCACATGGGCAAAGTTCTGAATCCCGAGTCTTGAATTTCTGGTACAGATGGCTGCAGAGTCTGTTGTGTCCAGTGAGCAATCTTAATATGATAGTCTGTTTCTTTTAGGTGAGGAGGTTGACTGGGTTTTCAGTATTGTGTTCTGGACAGAAAGTGTTCCAGGTTCTAATGGCTACATTGATCTAAGCTTTATTTTCTTCATAAGTGCATCCTGTATCTGGCTGAGCCGTATGGCTTCACATTTTTGCCAAGTAGTCTGCTCTTTCTCTGCCTCTAATGTTGCAGTGGCTTGAGATTCACTGGAACACAGTCTGCTTGGTTACCTGGCCCACTGGATTTAACACAGATCTAAACTTGTTGAATTGTAGTTAAACTGAGCTCCAAGGCTCATCGAGCCTAAAATGGGTACAGATTATTTTTCTGAAAAGTAGAGGCAGCAGGTGTGATTTTTAACATTTTGCACACCAATTACTGATTGATTTATACAAATAATTGGCTAGTAGCTTGTGCCCTATATGCTTCAAGATGTTGAAATGAGTTATTTAAACTTTTTGTTTACTTCTTCTTCTGCCTTTCTATCCCCCAATGGAGCATAGGCCCTCAACCAACTCACGCCAAGTTGTTCTAACCTTCGCCATTGCATGGAGCTCTCCCCATGTCCTCCCCATCTTTCTAACTTCATTCTCCAGCTCTCTTCTCCATGTGTTTTTTGGCCTACCTTTTTTCCTATGCCCCTGTGGGTTCCAATGCAAAGACATTGTAGTTATGCTGTTCTCCTGTTTTCTCAGTGTTTGTCCTATCCAACGCCAGTGTCTTTTCCTCACCTCTTGGTCCACTGGAGCCTGTTTAGTTCTCTCCCAAAGTTCTACATTTGTTATTCTATCATACCATTTAATTTCCTCTATTCTGCACAGGCACTCACTAGTTAATGAATGTCTGTAATTTATTAGTAATTGTCAGCTGTTCTCCATGTTTCCGCCCCATACAATAGTACTGATTTGACATTAGAATTAACAATTTATAGTTTAGTATTTCTTTTAAATTCTTTTTTCTCAATTTTTCATTATTTTGAATCCCCACCCTGGCTATTGCCAGAGGCCGCAATACAGCCTGGTCTAATGGCTGAACGTGGTTTCTGGGACCTCTCCAAGGGTGATCCTCATCCATACGGTGTCACTTTGTGTCATCGGGTGTTTATCACTTGTGTGATGTCCTAGTGGGGTAAAATCTACTACTACTACTGCCCTGCCAGCTTGTGTAGGGAATTATACATCTCCACAGATCTTGGTCTTTGGTATTCTGGATCAGTTCCACTGATAATATTCCTCCATGTCATTGTCTTAACCCTACCAGACCTGAGGCTCTGAACCTAACTGTTCCCTATATTTGAGCTTCTGGGCATCAACGCGAAAAAACCAACATGATATACACAAAATATTAGTTACATGCAAACAAGTGGCTAGAATAAGATGAAACTTGGAGACATTGTAGAAAATAGGCTTATCTTTTATCTAGTGCCAATATTCCACATTTCTGTGCCAATCCACTCAGGAGGATCAGGATTGTTGAATAAAGTGAGCACCAGATGTTGCTGTTTGAGGGACACGCCCCCTTTTCTTACTATCGATCTATTTCTAGATTTATAATTTTCAAATTCTCCTCATTATTTGAGCTGAATATGTCACTTCAACTGTGAATGTATTCTTCATGAAATAATGACTCAACCAAAGTATCGATCACCTGTTGGACTGTGAAAAGCCTAGACTTACTTTCCTTTCTTGTCCAAGTGTTTGGTTCATCAGCCGCTCGTTTTATTGTTAATTTTCAGAATTGTTCATGTAAAACAACAAATGTTATCCAAACACATGCAGGCGGACATCTAGGAAGACTACGATTGGCTAGTTATTTTTAGTCCATGACAAATCTTTTTCCTGTACTACGCAAATAGCCGAAAATTAGGTCCAGCGGTATAGAGTCAGGTTAATAAATTCCTGGAAAATAGGGCCAGAGGTCTGGTAGGGTTTGGCTATCCATCATAATTTCTCTTGGTCTGCCTCTGCCTCTTTTACCAGTGAACTTTCCATTCATCATGTATTTTCCAGTCTTCCTTTTCTAGGCCTCCACATACTCTAGGTCATGCCACACAAGATGGGGTGGCCTGTTCCCTGCCTCATCATCTTGTCAGAACATACTCAGAAAATTCTGAAAATCTATCATAGTGTTAAATTAACAAACTAAAACTTCTTTAGAGAAAGAATCTCACCTAATATCAGAACAGTTTTTGCTTCATAATCCTCAGGGTTTATAGAAACAGATTCATAGCCTTTAGCCAGTTCAATGCCCTGCACTTGTGGAATATTTGGAGTGGAAATTCCTGTTGCCATAATCAGTGTTCTGTGAATGAAAGTTACAAGCTGATTAATTATGGGTAGTGAGAGAGGAAGTGTTTTAGAGTCTGCCTCGCACTTGAGCAGAACTGGCATAATGCATGGTATTGTGTTTGTTGTTCTTCTTCTTTCGTCGTCTCACTGACACCAGGTTGTAGCTCAGTGTCATGGTTTTCTGTATTTATCTTTCACTTCTCGGGTGGCTTGAGTGATGGGTTCGTTTATCTTTTTGCAGGTTTCAGCTACACCATTTATCCATCTCTTTCTTTGTCTTCCTGTTGCCGTCCTTTCAGATGTTCTACTGTAAACAGTCTCATTGGCAGTCTCGTCTGGTTGCATTCTCACTAGATGACTGAACCATTTCATTCTTTGAATGTCGATATAATCCAGACATGGTCCTATTCCAAATTTCTTTCTAATGCTGGTATTCATAACCCTGTCTCGCCTAGTGTTGTTAGTAATCTTGCGGAGACAGCACATTTCACATGTGGTTATTTTCTGTTCTAGTGCCTTATTCATTGTCCATGTTTGGCACTGATAACATAAAGTAGGGATAAAGATGCTATTAATCATTTGCTGTTTTGCTGGAAGGGAGACATTTGGGTGTCTAAGCAGTGGAGCTAACTGGTAGGGACAGCATTTGCCTTCTGTTCTCTCTGCCTCTCCCTCCCACCTTCCCACCACCACAATGTATTTCAGGTTTTTTCTTCTCATGACATGACCAAAGCTTGTCTCTTTCTGATGTGAGCAATTATTTCTCTTCATGAGTCAGTTTCTTTCAAGACATGTGCACATTACATAACTAAAAATAGTAGCCCACATTATACAACTGATATGATAAATGTCACATCAGAAAACTTACACACAAAAGAATATTTATTTATGTCAAGCGTTATTTTGGTAAACTCATCTTTTAATTCTCCACCAAGACTACGCAGTTTTCTTATGGGAATTTTCTTGTTCTGTGATCTGAGTACACAAGACCATTTATGAAGGTATGAAGGAAAAAATAAAACCAACCAAACTGAGTTAATTTTTTTAATGAAATGATTTTTCTAGTAATTTGTTTATATATTCTCTGTTAAGCAACTCTATATGTAGAAATAAGTTCTATGGATTACATTCGGATTCTTTTACTTTAGTCTCAGACTGTTATAATTTTAATCTACCCTGTCCCAGCTGTTAGATAAAACCCATTTTCAACCTTGACACTTCTACAATCTTCAAATTCTTCTTATTCTTTTTCTTCACATTCACTGGCTGTAAACTTCAGTGGAAAGTCATGGTTGTTCATCTACTTCCAGACTTGTCTTGTTCAGGGACTTGAGTGTTGTGCGCACATCTGGTTTATAGGTCTAGCATATTTGTGCACAGACTGTTGGTTAGACTGATAAGCTCTGACCTCAGAGCAAACACTGATCCTATCTACTTTGGCTAGGTGTTGACAGGTCTTGGCTGGCATGAACCCTGGTCCTGGTGCAACACCACCTGTGGTTCAGCACAACTGCATCCCAGTTTTTAAAGTTATGGCTTCAACTTTTTCAGTCCCAGAATATTTTATTTTTAACTTACTATGTACTAGAATTTACCTAATGTTCCTTCCTTGATACTACTTTAGCTTCTACAGTGATCATTCTACATGTTTCTGTTACAGACTGTCATAACTCTAGTGCATGATGTTATCTAACAAGTTTCTGTCTAGATGTTAATTTATCTACTATAGTTGTAACTCTGGATGTTTCTGTTCAGATCTACTATAGCTACTATAGTTGTAACTGTATATGTTTCTGTCTATATGCTACTTTAGCCACTATAGTTAGAAATTTATATGCTTCTGTCTAGATGCTACTTTAGCTAGTAGTTATGATTCCACATGTTTCTGTCTAGATGCTACATTAGTCACTAGAGTTATTATTCTATTTGTCTCTGTCTAGACGTTAAGTTAGCTACTAGAATTACTATTCTATTTGTTTCTGCCTAGATGCTACTTTATCTACTAGAGTTACTATTCTATTTGTTTCTGTCTAGATGCTACTTTAGCTACTAGATTTACTATTCTATTTGTTTCTGTCTAGATACTACTTTAGCTAGTAGAGTTATTATTCTATTTGTTTCTGTCTAGATGCTACTTTAGCTACTAGAGTTACTATTCTATTTGTTTCTGTCTAGATACTACTTTAGCTACTAGAGTTATTATTCTATTTGTTTCTGTCTAGATGCTACTTTAGCTACTAGAGTTACTATTCTATTTGTTTCTGTCTAGATACTACTTTAGCTACTAGAGTTATTATTCTATTTGTTTCTGTCTAGATGCTACTTTAGCTACTAGAGTTATTATTCTATTTGTTTCTGTCTAGATACTACTTTAGCTACTAGAGTTACTATTCTATTTGTTTCTGTCTAGATACTACTTTAGCTACTAGAGTTATTATTCTATTTGTTTCTGTCTAGATACTACTTTAGCTACTAGAGTTACTATTCTATTTGTTTCTGTCTAGATACTACTTTGGCTAGTAGAGTTAGGATTTTACATGTTTCTGTCTAGATGCTTCTTTAGCTACTAGAGTTACTATTCTATTTGTTTCTGTCTAGATGCTACTTTAGCTACTAGAGTTAAGATTCTATGTCTAGATGCTACTTTAGCTAGTAGAGTTAAGATTTTACATGTTTCTGCCTAGATGCTACTTTAGCTACTAGAGTTAAGATTCTATGTCTAGATGCTACTTTAGCTAGTAGAGTTAAGATTTTACATGTTTCTGTCTAGATGCTACTTTAGCTACCAGAGTTACTATTCTATTTGTTTCTGTTTAGATGCTACTTTAGCTACTAGAGTTATTATTCTATTTGTTTCTGCCTAGATGCTACTTTAGCTACTAGAGTTAAGATTCTATGTCTAGATGCTACTTTAGCTAGTAGAGTTAAGATTTTATATGTTTCTGCCTAGATGCTACTTTAGCTACTAGAGTTATAATTCTACATGTTTCTGTCTAGACTAAACTTTAGTTACCAGAGTTTCCTTCTTCTTCTGTGTTTACTAGTTGTAAGTTCTGTCAAAAAGTTCTGATTGTTTATTCATTTGGACTTTGGCTTTGTGCCAGGACCTGAGTTTTGCATGTACATCTGTTTTACTGGCATTTCTGTATGCAGATGGTTGTTCATTGCCACTTGGGCAGATACATTCCGACTTCAAAAGAAGCTCCCAATTAGCTAACTCCTATGACGTGCTTGTTAGGAAGGCAGTGGGTCTATTCTTGTTTTCCCCACTACAAGGCCCTAGAACCACACGGGGAACTAGAGTTATAATTCTACATGTTTCTGTCACAGACAATTATAACAGTAGCCTATGATGTTATCAAACATGTTTACATACAAATGTTTCTTTAGTTACTACAGTTATTTCCTTACCGCAGCAGGCTCAGTGTCACCATTCCTGATCCCTTTTTGATTTCTGCCATCCTCTGTTATTACATGTCTTACATAGCAGAAACTTGGAACTTGTTCACTTCTGCCATCCTCTGTTATTACATGTCTTACATAGCAGAAACGTGTTACTTGTTCTCATATCTCTTTGCTGTGATGTTTACTACTGATCGTATTTTTTTTTTTGGCAGTTACCTAGTTTTTGATTTTAGAAGGTTAATGTCTTAACCAAACTCTGCACTCCACTCATTTACTTGATCCACTAAGTCCTGCAACTACTGCCCACTTTCTGCTGTAACACTGTGTCATCAGTATTTTTCAGAATGTTTAATACTCTTCCGTTATTATTCAGTCAAGACATTCTCAAACTTGTTTGATTTGATTTGTTTGATTCAAGAACTGACATCACAGCACTCGGGGCATTCCCATAAGCGCTCTGTCCCCATCTTCAGCAGCCAGCAAAGAGTTCTGATACTAATGGTGCCAGTAGCATTCTGATTAAACGTCCGTGTTGCCTTTCCTCTGAGCCTCAAGCATCTGCCAGAACCTCTCGTCACCCCCAACTGCATCAATCTCACCAGACTGTGGTGATCAATCTGCTCTTCCAAACTTGTTTTAAAATGTTTTCTGTATATATTAAAAAAAGGCTTGGGGATAACATACATCCTTAACACACTCCTCTTTTTATCTCTATTTGTAGTAAGACGGTCTAACTTTTGGTCTAACTGTTGCTTTTTGTTCCAAGTATAGATTACTAATAATTCTGATATACTTTCCATCTAATTCTATATTTTGGAGGCATACAATGCTGCACCCTGTAGTCTATAAAACATGCATAAATATCTTTTTGAATTTCCGTATATTTTTTTAATCAGCATCCTTAGAAAATGATAGCTTACCTAGCAACAGTACTTTTCCCTAACCCAAACTGTTCTTCAGAAACTTTGTTATTTATTTAATTTTTAATTCTACCTTGTACGAACTTAAGAAGTATCATAGTTATATGGCTCATTAAACTAATTGTTCTGTAGGCCTCACAGTCAACAGTGTTGAGTGATTCCTTCAGCATGATCCGGCGGGTCGAGGCAGGCTGGTTACACAGACAGTGGTTTGAGTCATTGCAAAACTCTCCTGTGTGTGCAGTTACCTTCATATTCATCTCAGGGCATGCAGGCGTTGTTAGTAATGAAAGAGCTGAAAGACTGGCAGGTGCTGCATTAATTGAAAATGGCCAGCCCATTGATCACGCATTGTCATTGCCCTTAGAGAAATCGGACATTCTGAGGATTTTGGAAGCAATGTGTCCACATCACTGCTAAGAATACGAGAATTAGGAGTAAAAATCAGCACAGCCAAGCATGAGAAGCACACCGGATGCACATTAAGTCTTGTCAACCAACATAGGACTGGCACTATTAACTGCGTGTCCCTGATGAATATGTTGAGAGGGAAATCTAAGCGCATATGGATGAGACCTGAGTGCTGTGAAGATAATCTAACTCATAACTCACAACCAACAGTTTTTGACTTTTTGGACAGTATGACAAAAGTAGATTTTTTCAAGTCCTTTAAAATGTAACCATTGTTTTATATATCACTTTATATTTCAGAGATGGTATCAATGCTAAATCTGGGTAATGATTTTATCATTTATGCTGTTATTTTAAAAGTTGTACGGAATTAAAATGGGGACTATTTAAAACTGTCAAGTTTATCACAAGAACTTGTCTGCGTGTGTAAATCAGAAAGTGAACATAAAAAGAATAAGAATGTTGTTATTTGTTCAGGGCCTGCAACTTTTCCATGTTTCAGATTTTTAATAACCTTCTCAACTTCATCTATGAAATTGTTTAGCGCATCCTAAAGATTGTACAGTTTTGGTTTGATACCTCTGTTATTCCAAAAAAAAAAAAGGTCCTAGGGATTTTGTCTCTCATACAAAGTAAAGGACAATTTTTCACTCTTGGGCGTATTAGAATATAATGCTAGACCTATATTTTATAGACCAATGGGCACTTGATGGCTGATGTGGCCAACATCATGCCAAACTCCTTTACTTCCAGGATTTCATCTGGTACCCATTATAGGATGACCCAGTCTGGTAACCAAGGTCGTTTAAAAAAAAAAGAAAAATCTGGCTCAATGCAGTTCTTCAACCTATGACCTTTGCACACCCAGGTGAATGTCTAGCTTTTACACCATGGCAACTACTGAATTCCTCAAACAGACTTGCAAAATTGATTGTCTTACACAATAAATATTTCTCCAATAACTTGTAGTTCACCTTGCCACAGGCTTTTAATGTTGTTTACATCTGCATTTCTATGACCAGTCTCCTTCTGATTTCTATTGAAGTTACCACTGAAATTAATTATGAAGTCAAGATATTCAAATTTACAGATTCCTTTAAAGTCAGAGTAATTCTGTTTGAGAGGTGAGGAGCCCACAGTTTGCACACAAATAAGCAAAACTCAAGTCCTTAAAGAAGACCAAAACCAGAAGTTGATGAACTACCAAAACTTTCCACCAGCGTTTACAGGCAGTGAAAGCTAAGAAGAAGGAGATGAAAGTTCGAGACATTTTCAACTTCTCCTTTGTTGACTGTAATTTTCAGCTGACATGTAGTTTTCATCTGTGAACTTTGCATTTTTTTTAACAACAATAATCAAAAACAAATTTTGATCTTCATGGTATTTCTTGACAGACAAAATTAACCTGCTGACAACATGTAAGAATGTTGTGTTACATGAGAAAAGGACCATACTAGGCAACTACAACTGGCAGAACTGGAAGTGACAACAAGACCAACAACAATTCCATCAACAACATCTGACCTGCAAGTGTAACACTGGTTTCTCTGATCATTCATCTGGAAAACATGACCATCAGGTGCAGTGGCATTCGGCACTTTATGGATGTTTTCAATATTCGTATTCAGCTGTACATTTATACTTAACTTGTGCTGGAGATAGCAGTAATACAGAAAAACATGAAAGTACACAAAAAGCAATGTCTGCAACATCAAATAGATGACAAATGAGAAACAATGCCATGACAATGTCACAACACTTTACTATCTTTTTGTGTTTCTCTGTATTAAATATTATATATTTGCAAAGATGATTATATTTCATAATATAGTTATGTTTTATTGCTATTATTGGTTTAAATATTGTTGCTTACATTATTTTAAAAGAGAAAAGTAGTCCTATAGCTGCTACAATAATCATGTTACAGTTATCATGTTACAGTCATCATGTTAGTCATCATGTAACAGTTATGTTACAGTTATCATGTTACAGTTATCATGTTACAGTCATCATGTTACAGTCATCATGTTACAGTCATCATGTTACAGTTATCATGTTACAGTTATCATGTTACAGTCATCATGTTACAGTCATCATGTTACAGTTATCATGTTACAGTTATCATGTTACAGTAATCTTGTTACAGTCATCATGTTACAGTCATCGTGTTACAGTCATCATGTTACAGTTATCATGTTACATCATCATGTTACAGTCATCATGTTACAGTCATCATGTTACAGTTATCATGTTACAGTCATCATGTTACAGTTATCATGTTACAGTCATCATGTTACAGTTATCATGACGACAGGAAGACAACACAAGAAGATTCTTGACAGCCTTGTGTCATGGTATAGAGGGCTATCAGCACATGAACTGATGCATGCTGAGGGTGATTGCAGGTTGTGGACAGGCATGTCCGCGAACACCAGTTGGCAAGGTTCTTGATAATAATGAAGTTAGCTTTTACTGAAACTGGGGTGTAAAAGAGTTAGGCCTTCACACACATACTAGTCGGAGGTCTCTGTGGCAAAGTGGGCCGAGCTATCTGCCTCCTGCTCTAAAGGTCATAGTTTAAAATTTTTTTTTTTTAAATTTAGTTTTCTTCTCCAGGATTGTAATCTGTAGGATCAACCTCTTAAGGATGAGAATCAAACAGTTACAATTTCCGGAATCCTGGTTAAACTATTTAACACATAGCACGGTTATATTAGGGCATCACAAAATGGTTACTATAACCACTCCCTAAGGACATCCTCTGTGGTTAATTAAAGACGGCTAGAAGATATTGAGGCTGACCTCTACTATGTTATAAAAATGTGTGCGAACGGGAGATGATTGATTCACGTATTGAGGTGGACTCATAGAAACAAAATGCCACAGACTGTGTTGTGTGGATGGGGGCATATCAGGAAGGGAATGAGAATGATAGAAGAAATGAATAAAGATGAGAGTGAGCATCTGAGAAGAAACAGACTAAGCACAAATGTTGACATTAACGGTCCTGAAATTCCATACTATAATTACGGGAGACTTTTCTTATTGCAGGCGGGTCTTAATAGTCACACTCAACATCAACAACCAGCAGATCCTTTACAGAATGTCTCTCTCATCACGGCACGTCTGAAAGTCTCTTTTTCTCTAGCCAATTCTCCGGCCCTTTGTTCTTTTACTGGCACTGCATCTTTTATATCCTTTATCCACTTTCACAGTGGTCTGCCTCTGCCTTATTTTCTGGAAACTGTACCTTTTATCACTGCTCTCTAACAGCCAGTATGTTGTCTAACATGTCATTACCAATGCTCAAAAGAAACTTCATAGTAAATCAAGTGTGAAGTGCCAACAATTACCTGGAAGTCATTTAAATAGTCCAGAAGGATTTCAGCATTAGGAAACAACTCTCGGGAGTACTTGGTCACCTTTAGGCTTTCATCATGAGACAGTAAGGAGTTCCAGTCATGGCGGAGATTGAATTCTATATTCTTCTTCCCAGTGTTTCTTTTGTTTATACTGATAAGCTTTCTGTGTCTAGGATACAGTTCAAAGAAGCTTCCTGAATAAAAACAAATAAGAGTTATACAAAATAAAACGGAAAATGCATACATACTGAAGATTTACACAACAGTCAAAATATAAAAATCACTGGAATGCACTAAAGGGGTTTTAAATGAAAACCGTAAAAGTGTGAAAGAAATTACAGTGACCATTCATTGCCAATACTGTTGGTAAGGATGTCAAGAGTGTTAAGCATATGACATCTCGCGTACAAACACTGTGACATTAATATGCCATTTTAAAGAAGGTCAGTCTACTTCTGACATGCACCAAGAGGAGCAGCAGTCTGTCATATGTGTTTGTTTGTTTGTTTAATCACTGAAAGGAGTGACATTAATTGGTTAATGAAGGTTCAGTATGGTGATGCCTGCCTGTCAGACCAGCAAATGTATGAGTGCAGCAGGAAGTCAGGAAGTTTCAACATGCATGACTTCCATGACAGACTGTTCATGACCGTATCAGGCAGATAATTTTGAAACATCCTTCTCTACTCATAACCAAGTGATTTTGATCTGTTTTTTCCTCCAGTCTCAGGCAGTCTTGTGAATGGCTCTTGTGAATCCCAACTATCATACAATATGTTTTCTTGCACCTCACAATTGATAAGAACATACCCTGTGGCTCAGAGGTTTCATGATCTTCGGGTACTAGTGTTTGATTCCTGCGGTGAACAGTTTTTTGGGAAAAGACCCAAGAAAAAAACAAGTCTCATAGTTTCTGGTCAGTGGTATGATGGTACTGGAGACCGTTCTCGTAGTTTTCAGTGAGTAGTATAATGATATTGGGGACCGTTCTCGTAGTTTTTGGTCAGTAGTATGATGGTATTGGGGACCATTCTAATAGTTTTTGGTCAGTAGTATGATGGTATTGGGGACTGTTCTCGTAGTTTTCGGTCAGTAGTAAGATGGTATTGGGGACCGTTCTCATAGCTTTTGGTGAGTAGTATGATGGAATTAGGGACCGTTCTCGTAGCTTTTGGTCAGTAGTATGATGGTATTAGGGACCGTTCTCGTAGTTTTTAGTCAGTAGTATGATGGTATTGGGGAACATTCTAATAGTTTTTGGTCAGTAGTATGATGTTATTGGTGTCTGTTCTCGTAGTTTTAAGTCAGTAGTGTGATGGTATTGGTGACTGTTCTAATAGTTTTTGGTCAGTAGTATGATGGTATTGGGGACCCTTCTCGTAGTTTTTGGTCAGTAGTATGATGGTATTGGGGACCCTTCTCGTAGTTTTTGGTCAGTAGTATGATGGTATTGGGGACCCTTCTCGTAGTTTTTGGTCAGTTGTATGATGGTATTGGGGACCCTTCTCTTAGTTTTCGGTCAATAGTATGATGGTACTGGGGATCCTTCTCGTAGTTTTTGGTCAACAGTATGATGGTATTGGGGACTGTTCTCGTAGTTTTCGGGCAGTAGTAAGATGGTATTGGGGACCGTTCGCGTAGTTTCTGGACTGTAGTATGATGGTATTGGGTACTGTTTTCGTAGTTTTCGGTCAGTAGTTAGATGGTATTGGGGACCGTTCTCATAGTTTCTGGTCTGTAGTATGATGGTAATGGGGACTGTTCTCGTAGTTTTTGATTTGATTATATTTGGGTCACACCACGTAATATTCCCAGAGATAACAGTGATACACTGTAACCAACTTTTATTGTAAAGTTGGCACATACTTTTTTTTTAAAAGAACATACTAAAGAAATCTTATTTTCTATGGCCACATGTGCTGTGAATTAAACTTCTTGAAAGTCATCCATTCATTATGGTTCATTGTGGTTATATCCTTGTTTGGGTATGTGTGTTTCAAAAGCTTTCTGGGGCTCAAGGATTTAAAAGCTCATATTAGACAGTAAAAGTTTAATGAATGATACAGTGATGGAACATGGGGTACACATATGCAAGAAAGAGCCAAACATATAAGGTTAGTTGCATATCCTTTACCGGACGTTGCAGAACCAACCCCAACAGCGCCTAGCTGTTGTGTGGTTTTTCTAGGCAAATTTACGTCCAGTAGTTTGCCATTGCTTTCTGGACGGTCAGCTTTCTTGATACCACTGTCGAAACCAATGTAAGGCGCATGGCCTGCAGCTGGGATTGAACCCGGCATTACGGAGCATTCGCATCGACTTAGCCACAGAGCCGACCAAACATATAAAGGGTTATTAAAAATGATGGATACAATTTTATTCATGTATAGTTCCTTGTACAGTATATGCTCCTCCTAATCGGTGGTTTTATGCCAAAATGAAGACAGAATGTTTGCTGCACCGCTGCTGCCGATTCAGTTTTGCCGAACTCAGGAACACAGAGAACGTTATGCTGCACAGTGGCCATCTTAGTCGGAACTGAACTGAAGGGTCCTTAGAGAGCAAGCACACTCGAGTGGCTAGTTATGCAACTGCACTCTAGGGGTAGTATTCGAAACTTTAGAACTTCCCCTCTTTCTCATGTGTACATTATTCATATCCAATGTATATTTAAGAAAATACATATGAATAAAAGTGTATCCATCATTTTAAATAACCATAAATTTATATTCTTCACAGTAGTAAATTTGTTGGGATAAGTATATCGATATTAGCAATTATTATGTTGAAAACGAGTCGCCGTGGCGTAGCGGCTAGACGCTCTCATGTGGTGCGGAAGGTCATGGGTTCGCTCCCTGGTGGAGCCGGACTTTCTTAAAAAAAACGACCTTGACTCCCAGGTTGACCCAGCCTTAAGTGGGTACCGGTTGCAGTCCTGGGAAGTAAAGGCGGCCGGCGTGATGCTGACCACATCACCCGTCTTGTGCTGATTGGTTTTTAAAAATATATGTCTAGCCCTACATGCCCTTTAACCTAAGGGCGCGGAAAAGGGACCTTTACTTTTACTAGACTTTTTATGTAAAAAAAAAAACAAGAATACAAAAAATTTTATTGGAATAATAAAAATAGTTTCATTCCACTGGTAAGACATTAAAAAACTGGTATCCTTGTAATTAACAGATCTTTCTTTAGAAATATAGTTCCTATTTAAAAAAAAAAAAAAAAAAAAAAAATAACCAGCATTATTAAGTACTTTTCTGTCTGGTGTAAGTGATAAAACTTCTCCATATGCTGTGACCTCCGACCTCATGTATCAATTTATGCGTTGACATCTTTCCATGACATGACAAAATCTGTCAGGAATCTTGTCATGTTGTCCATCTCTATCACTTTATCAAAAATCTTTGTAGTTTTCATATTATTCATTTGTTCCCTTTTTATAATGTGCCCAAGTAGTGAGGAATTACACAACATTAATTTAATATAATGATAATTTATAATGACAATTCTACGATTAAAAACAAACAAAAACATACCTGATTTGTTAGATCTTTCAAAGACAATATAATCTCGCCCAGAAGACTGAAGGAAGTAGCCGACCTGAAGGCCACCAGGGCCAGCACCAACAACACAATAGTCATGGTAGATGCAGCCAAGTGTGACTGAAGCAAATATGAATGAGGCAGACAGGAGGTATAGCATCAACTTCAGCATTGTCGTCTGCATATGGATACTGGCAAAACTTGAAGCAGCAGAGATAATAAAGGGAAAATCGTCAGTTCAATATTGAAGTATGGGAAAGTTAGTTCTTCTTCTTCTGCTTCTCCTTTTACTCTGCTCTTCTTCTTCTTCCTCTTCTTCCTCTTCTTCCTGTTCTTGTTTATCTTTTTCTTGTTCTTGTTCTTCTTCTTCTTCTTCTTCTTCATCTTTTTCTCCTCCTCCTCCTCCTAATTGTGCAATCTTTCATTCATGTAGTATAAAATGTTCACATATATCCAGTTCAACCCTCAAGGTTATTACTGAGATCTATAGTGTTCATGAACTTCTTACTGTGTGTGTATGTATACATAGTGCAATTATTTTTTAAAGACAAATATGTAATTTGTACTGTTTCAAATATTGCTTTGATATGTGTCATGGTTATGATAAAAATTGTACTATGACTATTTAGATAATCTTACTAACAATGTATCCCTGTGTCTTTCATTCATACATTTCCTTGAACACACTTATTGAAGAACAATATAACAGGCTCTTTCTCTACAGACACTGATACCTGTCCCTAAAAGCCCATCATCATCATCAGGTAGCAGGTCCTTGGAAAGGATGCCTTGATATTCAGATCTTTTAAGATGTCAATATTTCTCATCTTCTTTGTCCAAGATATTCTGAGAATCTTTATATAGCATTTCAGCTCAAAAGCCCCTGTTCAAAAGGCTGTTCAATTTCTGGATTGCTAAGGCCATCCTCCTTTTAATTTCTATTGAACAGTCTCCATTGTTGTTTATTATAGAACCTAGATATTCAAAGTTTGTGACATTTTCAATTTCTTCATCATTTATTGTTATTTTTGGGTGACAGCCAGTTTTATCTGTGGACATCATTTTCGTTTTCTTTAAATTCAAGAACAGATGTTGATCTTCACTGTGCTTTCGGACAGCCAATATTAGATTTTCTATTCCCTTTACGCTGTTCAAAAGGAGGAATGTGTCATTTGCATAGCGGAGTTCCGGAATAGGGTTGCCACCAATTTTAAGCGGATCATAACTGTCACAAGTCTGGTCATTTTTGACATTTCTCATTATATTTTCTGTGTAAATAATGAAAAGGTATGGTGAGAGAATGCATCCCTGCCTCACCCCCTTTTGCACCTTGAATCAAGCTGCTCTGATGGCTGCTTGTTGTTCATGACAAAGATTTTCAATTAAATGCACTAATGTATTCTCTGCATTTTTCAAAAATTGTTCACAAATTAAAGATGTGATCCCTAGTTCCTCTACCCTGTCTGAATCCCACTTGTGCTTCATCTAACTCATATTGTAATTTTCTTTCGATCCTCTTCATGATAATTCGACAGAGGATTTTGCTAGCATGACTTATTAATGCGATGGTACGGTAGTTGGAGCATAGTTTTGGATTTCCTTTCTTTGGGAGAGGGATATAGACTGTTCTTTTCCGTGCTTTAGGAGAAATGCCACTGTTCCTGATCTTTGAGCCCAGTGCATGGTAGATTCGGACGCTGCCTCTCCTCCTGCTTGCATTAGTTCTGCTGGTATTTCATTGCAACCTGGTGACTTTCCTTTCTTCAGGCTGTGTATTGCCGAACCTCATCCAGTAAAGGCTCTGGTTCTTTTTCATAACTTTCACAAGTCGTTTTTGAATTACTTGTCACATCCTCATACATTTCTCTACAGTATTCTTTCCATCTTTCTAATATGTCTTTGGTTTCCGTTAATATATTACTGTTTTTATCACTTATTACATGTAAAGAAGGCCTAAATTCGCATTTCAATGTTTTCATTTCTTTAAACATGTCTCTGTCTCTTCCTTGCATCTGGAGTTGTTCAATTCTATTACAGGTATTTATAATAAACTGGTTTTTTTATCTCCTCTGATAGCTCATCTGATTTCTTTCATGTAGTTCCTATATCAGTTCTCGTTATGCCTAATGGCACATGAGGCTTCAGAGAGGACTTTCCATGCTTTCCTGTCCTGTGCAATCTTCAGTGCAGTTTTCCATGTCAAAGATGCCGCACTCAGGTCACTTTCCATCGTTCGTCTCCATGTTGTTTTTGGGCGCCCCTGTTTTCTCTTTCCCTCTGGTGTCCATGTGAGAGCTGTTTTGGCAGGTATATCAGGATTCATTCTCATAATGTGGCCAAGCCATTTCCATCTTCTCTTGGTTATCATACTGTCTAAAGTTTCTTGGTTTGTGACTTGTAGTTGAGTGTTTGAGATTGTATCTGGCCAGAAAATTTTGATAATTCTACGTAGACGTGTGTGGTAGAAGGTGGACAGCTTGTGTGCATTCTTTTTGGTCATTCTCCAGCATTACGCTCCATAAAGAAGAACCGGCAAAATGATGCTCTTGTAGAGTCGGAGTTTTGTTCCTCTGCAGTAACTGTTGGATTTCCAGATTTGCCTCATCCTTCCAAAAGCAGCTCTAGCTTTGTTCAGACGTGACTGTATATCCTCTTCGGTCCCTCCTGGTAGGGACACCACACTGCCAAGATATTGGAAATTTTCTACATTTTCAAGAGTTTGATTATTTACGATCGCTGGTTGTTGGTTTGGATTGCTTGTCAGGATCCTAGTTTTCTTTGTATTTATTCTCAGTCCCACAATTTCTGCTGTGCTGAGTAGTCTGTTACTTTTTTCTTGTATATGTTCATGTTTATGTGATAGGAGTGCTATATCATCTGCAAAATCAAGGTTCTCCAGCATGGTGAATGGAGTCCATCGTATGCCTCTTAATGTCCTGTCTACTGTGTTCTTTAGTATCCAATCAATCACAACATTGAAGAGGAGAGATGACATAACACATCCCTGTCTAACACCTGCCTTTACTGGGAAAGATGTATTGTAATTTTTTATACTGCAGTTCCTATATGCATGGCTATTTTTTCTGTCCCTCCTTGCTTTAAATTTCTACTTTCTTCTATCAGCTTGAAAGTTTTTTCTGTAATGTAAATATGTTTCTTGTGTCGTTTTTTAGAAATCATGTTCCGAGCTGTTGTAATGAGAATGTTTCTTGTTTCATCAGCCAACTCATCAGGTGTCATATCCTCCTGCACTGCCATTAGCGCTTCAAATTCCAAAAGCCCAAACTGGGCTTATAAATCACCGTCGGACTCACAGTCAACTATAGTTTTATGATGGAAGAAAGAAAGAGTGGCTCTCATCACAGCAAGACATCAAGGTGGCTGCTTATAGATATGTCAGTTATGTGATTTTGCATATTCGTGTGGTTTTGTTTGATTTCTGTATGTGCTGATGAGGGCACAATAACCGCAACGTTCTTCAGGTATTGTTTGTGTTTTATATGGGCACTGTGCTCGCTGATCTACTTATCTAATAAAAGACTGCAACACATGCGCTTTATCTACCTAACAGCAAACTAAATTTTTTGTCAGTTTCAGCAAACTCCTAGTTAATGGCCTTGTACGACATACTTGCTAGGACACAGTGGGTCAATACTTTTTTCCTCTCAAAATGGGGTCCTGCAGCCCACTTAGGGAAGCTGTACATGTGAAATGATACAAGTAAAGAATTCACCAAAATGAACCCTTGAGAAAGAAGAGAAGAAATACTGACATTTTAACAGATCTGAACATCGAGGAAGATTGGCTAATAAACAACATCTTGTCTATGAAGCTGAAATATTTTGGTCATATCAAGCGCCATGACGGAATGGGGAAAAAAAAAAAGGTTTATAGCAAAAGGCATGCTACCATAAAGGAGGGTCAGGGGCCGACCAACGCTAAGATAGGCACAGGACATAAGTGAGTCCTTAAAAGAATATAAAAGTACATGAGGCAGGAGAACTGACGAGAGACCGAGCTTCTTTCAGGCAAACCGTGATCAGAGCGACGTTCTGCAAAGAACCTGCTACATGATGATGATGATGAACCCTTTTTCAAACCTTTGGGGCCTTAGTCATTTAGTGTCAAATAAAAAAAAAATGTGTTAGCGTGCACATAAAAAAGGGCTAAAGAAGCACATATAAGGCATATAAGACAGCAGAAACAAATGAATGCAGTAAAAGCAAGGGAACTAGTCTTATCCAATTCACGTTGTTTACGTTCTTGCTATAGTATCAATTGTACTTCAGTTACCAAAAGGAGCAGATCCAGCTGTGATTTTTACAACAGTAACAGGAAAGTTTGGCTATTTTTGTACCGTTATCTCAAAGACTGTCACAATCCCACTGGAAACTGCAATCATTGAAAAGAAATGATTAACTGGGGGTTAACAAACAACAAAACGCCGATAGAAGGATCAGATCGATTTCTGCTGTCCCTTTCTCTCACATACTTTAACTCCATGTTCTTCAACCAGTGGGCCGCGGACGGGTGATGATCAGTAGAAATTGCACGGAAGTCCGCCAACACTGCTGATCTAATCATTTAACGTCTACAGTGGAAACTAATCAGAGAAAGAATGAATGAGATTCAACCCCATCAGGACATTCACCAAACGATACACACCCGGTGACACAATGTGCCACCATGCGGATGAGGATCACCCGGGGAGAGGTCCCAGAAACCCCGTTTAACAGTTAGGTTATATTAGGACCCTCGACTACAGCCTGGGTGTGGCTTTGAAATAACGAAACAAATTGCGTGCCGTATCAAGACGACAGATACTTTTCAGATACAACACTATAACCAGGTGTATCTGAGTTTCTAACTGCTATGCAGTAGATACCGCATAAGCTAAACCATTAAATTCTACAATAATGTTTTAAATAAATAAAATACTCTCCACACTTGCATTTATTTCAGTCTTAGCCCTCAGTCGGTCCCTGAAATATTTCTCATAATTTCCCGGTCGGCAAATGTTGAAGACAACTGCTTTAACTCAATCAGCACCAAAAGTCTTTTAAAAGATAGCGTCTCACTTGAGCACATCCACATGGGAGTTCCGGGGCCCCATTGTGGGG